TATTATTAATTGGATTAAATAATATTTAATTCGTAATACTGAAAATGAATTAAATATTAATTAGATTAAACATATTTAATTCATGAAGCTGAAGGAGAGTTCTATTTGATAGAATTAATTAAGTAAGATAAATTAGATTTATCATACTTAATTAAGATGTATTTATTATTAAATAAAGTAGATATTTTCTTTTGTAATTTGGAATTAAAAGAAAAGTAAATAAAATAAATATTAATATATAATAATTAGAAAGTGGCGTGCAGCCACATCTCAATTATTATTATTATTTTGTTTTGTTTTATCTACTTATTTAATTAATTAGGAGTATTGGTCCTAGTAGGATTAGAACTCATTAATTAGAAAGACTTTCATTGTGATTGGGAAACTAGTTTCGAACTAGTATAAATACATCCTTCTCCTTCATAATTAGAGACCAGTTTTAAGATTCAGTATTACCAGTTTATTTCCCTGCAAAGAGATTTTCTAGTCTTTCTCTTAGGGAGATCTAACCGTTCTTTCGGAAAGGAGAAATCACGTGGATACCAAAGGTCAAGGATTATCACCGCTAGGCTGGAAGATCTGTAAGTTCTAACTCAGATCTGTTATTATTATCATATTCGTTATTTTGTCATAATCAGAAAGATCTGTTTGGGAAAATTTTAAACTTCCGTTGTCGTACTTTCGAGGTACGTTACATCAATTTCCTAACAGCTATCTCCAATATGGGCATCTTATCAAAGGTCTGGCAATCTGTTCAAAATCAGAGCTGAAATAAATGAAGAACTGCTCAGGCTTCAAAGACTAGAGGAAGAAGCTCTACAGGCAGCTAATCTGGAGAATGTGTAAGGTTTAAAACTCTGTAAAACCTATCTAATAAAATCACATCTCTGCCTTCTTACTTTGAAGTGCTTTTCCTCAAATTCGTGTCTTTTTGCCTTCTGTTTGTGTTTGCTTATTTCTGTTATTTTCTGCTATCTGAATGTATCGTACTCTTACTATTTTCCTATGCCAAGTTGCCCACCAAGATTTTAATGAAGGTTTTAAACTTTAAATTTTTATGGTGAAGGCACTTCTCTGGAAATAGTTAAAGGGTTTTGGCATCATCAAAAAGGGGGAAATTGTAAGGAATAATTGTATTTAGATTTTGATGATGCTAGATTAATTAGGACTTTAGAGTACCCCTTTAGAAATTATGTATTAGAATTTTTCTTTGTAAAGTTCTTAGATGTATTCGACTTGACAGAAGACCTTCAAGAACAGAAGTGCTTCAAGAACAGAAGTGCCTCTTAAGGCTTTATTGAAACAGAGGACCTTTGGTTCTTTGCTCCAGAACAGAAGTCCTCAGGATCTCTGTTAGTCTTGACTCTGACAGAAACCCTTCTGGGTCTCTGTTGGAGACTCCCAACAGAAATGCTCCAGACCTCCTCTGTTCTACTCTCAGACAAAGACACCAGAAGGCCTGACACTTAGAAGATTTTCAAAGAACCGGGAAGTCAACTAAAAGATTCCTTCAACGGCTAGGAGTATGAAACGGAAAAGCTACAGTGCATGCATTAAATGCTCATTTAATGCACCCCATGCTACGTAGAGTAATTGCAGATGATTGGCCGGAATGTCAGGAATACTTTATCCCAAAATAGTAACCCGCCAACTTTACCGGGCTCTACTAGTCAAGTCAACTGATCGCTCATTTAATGCAGTTGTCCTCCTACTCCTCCAACGGGAAGACAACCTCAGTATAAAAGATACACTACGAAGAACAACCGGATAACTTTGACTACATAATTTTGCTACAACTTTGCAAACCACAAGCAAGATATTCAAACTCTGAAAAGCAAAAAGCCTCGTTGAGATTCAAACTCAATATCTTCTACAAGAGAAGGCAGAAGTTGGAAAAATACTCTTTCCAACTCAAGCAAAGTTCCAAGTGTTCTTCAACTCTTCAAGCTCATCACATACAAATATTTTGTAACGAAGCTAGTTGGAGGAACCCCAGTTTCAACAGAAACTCTTCTTGCTACAAGAAGGACGTCCAAATAACTTGAGTAGTGAAGTGGTGATACTTCAAGGAAACTCAGTGAAAGGACCAGTGTTAAAGGAAGCCAGGCAGTGCATCCCAGGACACATCTAGACTTGAAGAAGACGTGGAGTGCTTCTTAAGTACTAGGACTAAGGCTTTGTAAACGGCAGTTTTTACAGCTTAGTGGAACAGTGGATTAGAGGAACGAGTTGTTCCTTGAACCACTATAAAAATCCCTGGTGTCGCTTACTTACTGCTTTTAATACTTGCACTTAGTTAGAACTGTATAACTTCTTGGACTTGGTATCTGTGTTCAGCAGAACTTGTTCTACGAGTTAACAGAAGGCCTACTGCCTTTGCTTCTCTGAGGCTAACAGAACTCCCTGCCAGAACCCCATCCGCTGCCAGTCTGTCCCTTCAACAGAACAGGCTATTCTGTAAATCTGGTACTTAGTTTAAAAAGCTAAAAACCAATACAGTCTATTCACCCCCCCCCCTAGACTGTATCCAGTATAACCGGGACCAACACCTTCGGCTGTAGATGACAGTCTGAAGGCTCTGCGTATCGGGGGCCTCATAGTGCCGAGGGCTCCAATTGTCGAAGGCTTGGTTTTCAAGCCTTATTTTCCCGTGATGTTGCTGAGCCCAATTCTGTCACTGGTAGCCTTCGGCCATTGGGCCGAAGGCATCCCTTCATGTATTGTGGGCTGCTTAGAGCTCCATCTTACCGGGCTTGGCCCGCTTTGGGCCTGTTGGGCCTGAATGTAATAGTGGAAGTATGTGGGCCGGGGGTCCCTGGGCCATATACTCCATCAATATTTTAATTAGTTTTTTATTTTTTATTTGAATATCTCGAATTAATTTGTTATCATGTTTTATATTTATGTGAGCAAGAAATGATATAAATTTAAAGGAATGAGTAGTACATGACTTTAGCTAGTGCACACTTGAATGTGTACAACCTTTGTATTTCAAATATTTGTAAAGGAGGAAATGTAACAAATGAGCAAAGTGGTGGAGTGGTATAGATCTTCTTTGAATGTGTAAAAAATCATTCCCTTTAGGAATGATTTTTTATACAATTTTAGCAGACCTAAATTAAATGATGTGCAATGGTTGGTGAATGACGTGGAAGGTACCTAAATTAAATGGTGTGGAATGGCTGGTGAATGACGTGGAAGGTGATGTGGCACTACGTTGACAAGACGAATGACAAGGCAAAAGAAACCCTAATTTCGGAAATAAGTTTAAAAAGGAACCGTAAAATACCCAAACAGTAGAATTCCTTACCACTACGCGGTTACGCGCTCAAAATTTGCATTAGAGTCAACGGTATGAGCCTGTTCACGTACACCGTCGGCGGCGGAGGTTTCATATTGATCAGAGCTTAGGAATCTTTCGTATCAACAGAAACCTTCAGAGTGTCTCCGTTGCCGTTAGCACACCCTCAATCACCACACACTGGGACAGAATCCTCCTCAAGGTTCTCCTCCTCTGTGACATTCGTGGCAGTTTCTGCCCTCTCATTTCTCTTCATCATCAACTCCATAATCTCCATCTCTTACGCCATCGGCTCCAAAGACTTGGTTGGTTTGGCTTACCAGTTGGGGGAAATCGCCATTACGCTCCTTTTCCTTCTCTACTCCGTCCTCGACTTAGTTGGTTGTACAACAAGGCGTCTTCAATTTCCTTCCCAATTCCTCAATTTGATTTACCTCTTCGCATTCGTGGAAGAACTCCTATTATTTTACCTTCAGAGGAAAGACCCTAGCGGGGTCGAAAATCGGAATGGTCCTGCAAGGGATCTCGTTCCTACAAATGGGGTTTTCGTTTTTCACCAACATGATAGCTTATGGCTACTCATTGCACGGAAAAAGTAGAGGGAATTACACCATAAAGTGCAATGGACATCCCAAATACTATCGAGGTCGAGCCATTGCCACTCTTCAATTCAATTGTCATCTTGCTCTTCTTGTGGTTTTGATGTGTGGAGGTGGAGCATGCTCTATTGTGCGTAAGAAGAGTGGAATTAACAGGGAATCAGCTTTGAGGTATAGACCACTTAGCGCAGAGGTGGTTCAGCAGCTCGAAATGGCTAGCAGCAGCTCACATTTTATATTGGATTCTGATGATGATGAATATGAAGAGAATAGTGGGTTTAAAAAGGAGGAGAGGAAGAATATGGAAATGCAGAAGGCCAACCAGGGCACTGATGGTTATTCTACTAGCGCATGATTTTGTTATTTTTTTGTTTTATTTGTTTATAGCAATGAACATAGGCATGTCTTCTAGATTGTGATTAGATTAGAAAGATCCAGCTTTTGCATGGTACCATTGAGAATAAAATACACTTATCATATGACTAGATAATACAAAAAGATGCCTACACAAACTTAACTATTTGTTTGACTTTAGGGCCGGGCCGGGCCTCGGGTTTGGTTTTTTTTTCTTACCTACCCATCCCTGACCCCCACCCCCCACCCCCCCCACCCAAACCCCCCAAACCTGTCCTAAACATCAAGCCCAACCCGGGTGGAGCCCAAACAAATGAAAAAACCAAAAAAAAATCAATTTGGCCCGAACCGGGCCCGGCCGGGCCTTGTTTTGGGTGACCCGAGCCCGAACCGGAAACCCATCGGGTCGGGCCTACCCGGACCGGTCACTGACCGGGCCACCGGTTCAGTCCAGGTGGGAACAATACCGGTCCCGGGCAGGTTCCGGGTCGGGCCACCCGGCCCAAGTCCAAGTCTATGTGTGAGGCTCCTTGGGCATGGTGACCGGTATAAACCACATGTACCCATTAATGGCCCAAGCCCAACCCTTACGAGCCCAGTTTAGGACTGGCCCTATACCGGGAACTAGCCCTCCTCAAATTCCATTAGCAGAATCTCACCTGTTCATTTTCAGGATCGGGGTTAGAATCGAGTATGCTGGCAGCCGACAGGCCGTCTACAACTAGAACGCTATGTGACACTTGAAGTGTAGAATTATAGCTCCTGTTAAGTCATCTTATTCAAAATCATGTTATACAAATAGAAGTTAAGCTCCTATCAAGTCTTCATATACAAAATATGGAGAAACGTAACCTGTAAAGTTACTCTTATAACGGGTAACTTGAATTTAATAGGAATGAAATACCAAGTATAGTCTACATTATAATGTCATTCACGTGATAGTCATCTGAGTGGTGAAACTAAATATCAGAAAGGAAAAACATATGGATGGATTCAAAAGCTTGGTCCGTGCCCGAAGGAGGATGCACCCAAGGTGCCATGTTGGATCAGTTCGATTGAACTTTTAATCACATAGTATCATTCCACATTTAGTTGCTGGTTATCTTTTTCCATTCATAGTGCATCGGACTTTAAATTCTTCTGGTCATACATCCAGTAAACTTCCGTCGGGGAATCATTCTCTCAGCGACGCATTACTCATTTAGCTTGCAAATGTCAATGAACTTTTGTACAGCATTATGGTATTGGGTTCCCTACAGTGGAAGTGTGGAACATCAGCATACTCAAATATCACAGTGTAATTAGGAGTGCATATATTCGATTCATTTGTTTTGGGGGGGAGCGAGAGGGGGGATCATATCCCTGGAGTCTGCACAACACAACGACAATGTGCAGATTCACTAAGGTCCATTCCAAGAAAAGGCTAGGGAAAGAAAATAGAGACGAAATTGCAGAAGAAATTGGAAGGAAATGTTTGAAGAAAATAAAACATTGGTTCGAACTCAATAAACATATATTTATAACTTGTTCAAATTTCAATTTTTTTAAACTTCTAATATATAAATGGATATTAAGAAATCTAAACATGTGGGAAAAAATAAAAATGTTAATCATTTGTTTTACTTTTCATTTACCAGGGTAAAACAAACATAAAACACCTTTCATCAGCATTTTATTTCCTTTCCATAGCAGTTTCCAGGATTCAACATTGTTTACCTCCCAATAGAGTTGTTTGCAATCTATGCACTGCCAGAACTCCAAATTCTTGTTAAATAAGCAGTTTGGGATGACCTGAAATCCCTTGCCAGCTTCGACGGCCTCTTCAGTTGAAAGAGCTTTCTGTATGAACCTCCCATTGCATTTAGTACACCTAGACATCAGCTGATCCTCTGAAACAGCCAATTTAAATGTTTCTATCACCTGTAAAATACAGGAGGTGCAGCTCTATTATCATTGTTGCTAAACAAGTCATTTGGTTGTTGCATGGTGGCATATGGAGTTTGTTCACCTCAATAAGTTGTTCATTTTTAAGAAGACTCTTCACCCTGTAAATTTGGTTTTTTATGAGATAGCCATGCCTCAGCAGCTTGGCATCTCGTGTTAAAAGCACCCGCTTCTCCTTGGATGCTTGTTCTATTAAATTCCTGATAACAAGAACATTAAACAACAACAAGTTAAAAAAACATTATTCGTCAAGCAGCACAGATTTCATTTCATTTCATTTTCATTTACCCCAGTGCCGCAAAGGCTCCCACCTACGGTGGGGTAAGGGGGGGTCGGATGTACGCAGCCTTACCCCTGTACTAAAGCACAGAGAGACTGTTTCCGGATGACCCATAGTGAAAATCCCGTCCAAAATTGCATGGACTGACTGTTGCTTCATAACAAAGAAGTGCAGACAGTTTAGTGAGCCATTTTGCTTTATTCCATCATAATCTCAAGCCAAAAAATAATGAATCTTTGGCTCCATTGCAAATGATGGAAATAAAAACTGATATTAGTAAGACTGAAAACTCCAATTGCATGTCAAATTTTTCATATTAGTAAGAAAAAAGCAAAAGTGCAACCTTGTTTCAGGTTTTCTCATAGGTGGAACGGCAGCATCAATGCCAACACACCTCAAATGTTTTGCCAATCCTTCAACCTAAAATATTGCAGCGTCAATATTGCTGCTACACAAGGAAAGAGTATATATTCCCTAGACACCTTTTTGGTAGGAATGGTAGCCAAAATGCATTGTTCCATTTATCCACAAAATAAGTAGGTTTAGACTTATTTATTGACTGCAAGTTTTTCATTTCTGAAAATTCAACAGATTCAGCAATAACCCTACCTAAGGGATTATTGAAGTCAGTGCACATTCCTACTGGACCAGCCTAAACCATAAAGGGTCATAAGTAGTGCACAACTCTCCCACTAAGAGAAGAGCATGTTGAAAGTCCCAATGTATGCAGACCCTAAATAAACCATACAAACAACAACAACAACATCCAAGCCTTAATCCCAAAAGAATTTGGGGTCGGCTAACATGAATCGATCTATGATATCGATGCCAAAAAGAGCAAAAAAGATGAGTATGCAAAGGCTTCTTATGTCAATGGCTTGATAGTGGAAAAACTAGTATGGTAGATTTGCAGTAAAAAGGGATGAGAATCTTAGACAGCACAAGTCTAGAGAATGGGCCGAACCTGGGTAACTAGGCCACTGTCTCATCACTTCGTGAATTCTAATGGTCCGGCCATGGAGGCCAGTTGAGTAAAAAATCATACGAGCTTAATGAATGACCCAAAGAGCCAAGTGCAAACACTCTGTTCAATTTCTACAGTGACTCAATTTCTATAATCTCCCTAATTTTTAACTTCAATATATGGTTCCATACCATCACATCGCATAAGAACTTAGGGAAACCATCACCACCTAAGGACATATCCCAAGGCGGAGGACCTTGCCATTCTTCGCCACTGTCCAATTGTCTAGGTTTGGCCAATAATCCAGCAGGAGACCTCATTTTCCGCCTCGACATTTTGGGTTTCCTATCAGCATCACTTAGTAAAATTTTATCACCATACTTGGTGATAATCCAAATGACTGCATCATGCATTCGCTTATTTTCGGAATACTGAAATACACAAGCCGCTTCTTCACAAATGGTTATTCCTAGGGGGAAATTGGTCACGATGGTTTGGACCATCTTTGTAGCTTTGATGAACTTACTCCGCAATACATTATTAGAAACATTTGGCATGTCAAGAATCTGCTTGAGGCCAAGATTGATGGAAGACGACTGGAGCTTTTCATCATTGCACGCAGTACTCCCTAAATTGAAATATCTCATTATGTCAACACATGCTTTGGAAAATGCATGAGATAGAGACAATTATTATTGGCTCATTATGTCATTATCTCATTATGTCAACACAAGACAGAATAAATTGTTAACAGAGGTAAAGTGCATAAAAAGCTTACTTAAACAATTATTATTGGCTCCTGCTAGCTCAATTAAAGAAAGCTCTTTAGTAGTTTACTTCTACTATTCAGTTTTGTTCTGACAAATTGATAAGTAACAACACAGTTAACATTATCAGCACATAAGTATGAGCAAGAGGAGCTTTTGATTAACATATGCCCCATCTGAAAGCACAAACTGCATGTGTGTATGCATGCATCCATGTGTGTACATATCCCCCCTAATGCAAGATATTCTAATTAAGATATACTGTTTCCTTATCCTCTTTGATTCCCATGTGCCACATCACAAGCACACATATTATGTTTAGCCCTTCAGCATTTCAAACGAAGTCTAGGTGTGTGGTTCCATATCCGATAAAATAAAACAACAGAATAGTAGATATATAAGTTCTAGGAAGATGACGGCACACGGTCATCGCGCCTGCCCCAAAAATAATTCAATACTAAGCACTAATACCGTATTATAGAGTAGTAGAGTTCGTATCCACAAGGAAAGGTATTCTTCTAATGTGAAATCGTAACTGATAGAGTATATGGGTCCAGACCCCATGACCCACATACTTCCACTACTGCAAGCAAGACCCCGGGGACGTACGTCCTTCAGCACAGGGGAAACCCCGGGGACGTACGGCCTCCAGCTACATGCAAGACCCCGAGGACGTATGGCATGAAGCACAAGGAACACCCCAGAGACGTACGGCCTCTGGCACATGGATCATCCCGGGGACGTACGGCCTCCAGCACATAGGAAGGCCTCGAGGACGTACGGCCTCCAACACGTAACAGTCACCCGGGAACGAACGGCCTTCAGCACTCCGTCAGCCAGACGTACGTCTCCAAGGACTTCGTCTGCCACAGCCAGACGTACGTCCCCAAGGACTTCGTCTGCCACAGCCAGACGTACGTCTCCAAGAGCTTTGTCTGCTAGACTTCCATACTTAGCTCATATATCCGTTGTGAAAAGATCAAGCGAATAACAATTGTATTCGTTGATTACTTCTAGTAATAATAAATATGAAAACATTAACTAATTGATCACATAGCAATGTTCAAATATCCGGTCGAATATTGCATATACTCAATCGGGTATATGATCAGATCAGAATTTTTCATTGTTATCTTGTTCTCTTGCACCTTACTTGTTATCCGGTGACTGATGCTCAGAACTCTCTAAATTTACCAAAATACAAAAACTGGGAAAAAGAAATGGTTGCACCGTAAATGCACAATTATCACAATAACACACCGTAAACACTAATTAAAAGTAAAAACATACACACTGAAAAAACAATACGATTAGAAGACAAGGATAGTCGACATTAGTAGGTGACATTATTATGTTTCGAATATTCTTTAGGTGATGAAATAGATAATCCTATGATCACCACCCAATGAATTGTGATACCTAAGAATGTCACCAATTAATGTCAATTTCAATGTCTCTATAGAATTTGATCTTGTAGCTATCGTTCTCTTATTCAGCTGGATAAGATGGCAATGCAAGAAAGCCTCGATATCTCAAGATGTACAATATACATGCATAAAGAACAAAGTATGGCACTTGACATACCAACTACATTAGCCACCCTGGCCTTGAGTACATCAAAGACTTGAAGCAAGCAGAGAGCATCTAGTGCAGCATAAGTCTTTTGTTCTTCTGTGAGAGGCCGTTGTGACCAATCACTGCACTGGAGCTCCTGCAATCGAGGTATACACATCATAGACAGGGGATCCACTTTTAGTGAATAGAATGTCATCCTTACACTTCTATATTCATTATTCAGTTTCGTGCTCAAACTGTCTTAAAGTGGAGAGAAAGTAATTGGGAATGTTTTTATGTTTCTATGCTTTGATTTAATACCCATACAAATTATTATCACTCTCCACACTACTATTCACCTTAAGTTCTTTTTCTAAGTCAAAAATATTTTACAAATATCATCAATGTTTTAGAAAATTCACGAGTAGTTCCAAAAAAATTGGCAACGTCCAAATCTTCCTGAACTTTTCCATAGCCAGGGATCTTGAAAGAAAAGTCTCTATACTCCTATGGGTAGAGGTAAGGTGTATCGTGTATGCACATCTCACCTTATCAAGACCCTGCGTTCAAATGGGATATACCAGGTATGCAAGATTTGGTTTGGTTTGAGAAGAAATGGAGAAAGACTTTGGTTTGGGATCTGGATGAAACTAAAGGGGGAGAGATGAGTGAGAAATGGTAAGCCACTATGTATTGAGAAGCCGGGATGAGTTAGGAGTTGAGATAAAGAATTAAAATTTCCACTGATTTTCTTCCCATTTTGGAGAGGAATATATTTGAATGGCTGAAAAAAAACTAATTTCCAGCATTTATTTCCCTTCTATTTTCTTTCCAATGGCTGATAATAAATGCTCACTCCACATTCTTTCATCCCATTTACACCCAGCCTAAAACTATGAACATTATGTGAACTCCAATACCACAAACCTTTGAAAGAGAAATGCCCAGCACTTCCTGGCAAATTGCTGCTAAACTCTTAGATTGCTTTGGTAACCTTCTTCCTTGTTGCTTGTGTTGCAGGTAGCCATATATGCTTGTAATATCTATAAAAGGTTCCACCTAGTGGACAATCGTGAACAATCAAATACTAAGCTCCAAGCACAATAAGGCAGTATGTGTACCCTCAAGTTAAATGTATAAAACCCAGCAGCTTGAAAAGGAAAATCCAACCAAGCTAAACGGTTTTAGTTTCAATATACTTAACACAAGTCACACTATTGGACTTTGCCGGAACTAGGCAATATTATGGAACTAGACTAAATTTTGTAAAGTCGATAGCTTTGAGCAAAAGTTTCGTTTACAGGAATCAGCAATAAGTAGAATGGTGAAACAAAAACAAAAATTAAGAGAAACTGATCAATCCATAAATTCAGAATTCAAATTAGAACTTTCGCGAAGCTTACGCTATCGAAACCGGGCTCGCAGCCCTGAGAGCAGAAGGTGGAGGACAGGAACAGCAGGTCTTGCTTGAAGCGAAATCCCAACTTCAGAACATTAGGCGAGACAAACGCATCCCTGAGAAGCTCATAGATAGATGGAAGAGGGATAGCTGAGAGGTCGATAAGGAAAACAGGTGTCGAATTATTAGAGAAATGACGAGTTTCGTCGTCTTCGCCGATATGGCAAGCTATTTGGAGGATGGAGACCGTAGGATAGTTGGACTGCTGAGAGCGGACGGGCTTCCATTCGGCGTCAAGACCGATGACCGGCGACCGAGTTAGTGCTCGACTAAAATGAGTGAACTCGGGCGAGTCGATGGATGAAACAAAGTAGATGCTGCTTGAGAGATCCATCATCCATGTACCAGAGTGCGAATTCCACATGTAATCATATCATCATGTATAATTAATTCGCACCCGCGGGATTTCCTGGATATTAAAATGTAATACTTACTCCTTCCGTTCCTAAAAATTGTTCCCGGTTTGACTTGGCACGCTTATTAAGAAAGTGGAATAAAGTGGAAATGTATGGTTGTGGTTGTGTAAGAAAAAGGTAAAATGAATGTGAGCCACACAAATTGTCCAAAATGGGAAAGTGAGAAGTATTTTTGGGAACACCCCAAAAAGGAAAGTGGGAAGTATTTTTGGGAACGGAGGGAGTATATGATTTTATTTGTGAATATTACTTTGTCGCGTGAAATTAATGCAATTTGTCATAAACGTAATATGCATAATAAATTATAAGCAAAGATCGGATAGTGATAACTCAGAGATAGGTAGTAACTTTGTTTTGGAATGAGTAGTGAAAATAAAATGTTATAAAAGAGCATGTCTCGGTATTTTCACCGCAGAGCAATATCTGTAGTGCGATAACCTACACATTGCGAAAAACTTCCTTATAAACTACATTGGTGGTATGGTCAGTTGGTTGACCATCTTTATCACATATTAATATCTTCAAACCCTTAGGATTTGTTACTCTTGACACTGTAACATACGGTTGATCATGCGTGAAGACTGACTTTTTACATAATAGTCCAACATGAGACAAAGACTGTCCTTGACTCTTATTTATAGTCATCGCGTAAAAGGTCATGACTGGAAATTGTCTTCTCTGAAACTTGAACGGTATTCTTGAATCCGAAGGAGTTAAGCTTAATCTCGGAATGACAACTTCATGCCCGGCATATTTTCCGCCCAAAATTTTTGCCCCTAGGATGTGATTTCCAAGTCGTGTAACAATTAACATTGTTCCATTGCAAAGCCCCATTGAAGGATCAATATTCCTTAAAAGCATTATTGGGGTACCAACCTTTAGGGTTAACTCATGGTTTGGAACTCGAGATGCACGTATTTTATTGAGAAATTCTGGAGTGTGCAAATCAGCCAGAAAATCAGCATTGGAGTCTGACTTGCAAATGCTATCTGAACTTAAATATGTCTTTGACTCTTCATTAATATTCAAAGAAGTCATGTATTCATTAATTGCATCAATAACATCAAGGGTTGGAGCGAGGATTACACGCTCTTGCAGGTAAGTCGGGTCATTCACAATATTTTCAAAGTTTGGGTAGGTGTTTTGGACAATAGTGGCAATGGGTTCGCCTCCACACTCTAACAAAAGGTCATTTGGAATTTTGACATTAGCAAAGCCATCATTATCTTCCCCCGCAGTCTCATCTCCTAAACTCGCAATCCACTTTGCAAACTCTACCAAATCCTCATATTCACGATCATCAGTCAATGATTGCAGCCTCATGTTCTTCGTCAAACGTAATACCATGCATTCATGCCAAATATATGAAGAATTAATCGTCGCATTCACAATGTCTTGTCTAGTACCTTTTGTAATGACTGGTAAAATTTGTCTAAAGTCTCCCCCGTATACCACCGTTTTCCCTCCAAAGGGCTTTTCAGCACTGTACGAATTAGTGAACCTCAAGATGTCCCGCAAACTTCTATCCAAGGCTTCAAAGCAATACTTGTGCATCATCGGCGCTTCATCCCATATGATCAGTTTGCACCGAATTATCAATTGAGCTAGTGGACTTCCTTGTTTTATGTTGCATGTGGAGTTTTCATTCGGGTTGATCGATATTGCAAAACGCGAATGAGCCGTCCTACCACCCGGTAATAGTAAAGTTGCTATGCCACTCGAAACAACATTTAAAACAATTTCTCCTTTAGATCTCAACGCAGCTGATAACGTCTTCCACAGAAACGTTTTCCCCCCTACCTCCATAACCATATACAAAGAATATCTCACCATTATTTTCTTCAATAGATTGCATAATGGTTGTGTATACTTGATGTTGTTGATCATTGAAACTCTGTATGCATTTGTCGTGCTCTTCATGTAGGGTAACACGATCGTATTGCAATTCATCAGAAATAAGCCTGTTCTGAAACATGGTAGCATCACTTATCATGAGAAATGGCATTGATGGATAATCCTTTAAAGTCCTACCAATTCTCCTCAACATCATTTCTATTTCAGTCAATGCATAATTCTTAATCTCAGCTTCGGTCAACTTCAAATCTAATATTACATTTATGAAAAGAGTTATATCAAATAACATGTGCAATATATATTACATATATATAGGGAGCGGATCAGGTGAGAAGTGTCTTTAGGCTGAGAAGCTGCAAAGTCTAACTTATAACTAAAAGTACAAACTTTTAACCAATAAATCATAACTTATAGACCCCCTCGAAAATAATTACGAAAATGCCACCGCGTCAAAATAACTCCAGAAACCTAGAAATTTTTTTACGCGGTGGTATTTCCGTAATTAAGATGGAGAGCTTTATAAGTTATGATTTATTGGTTATAAGTTACTATATTCGGTCTATAAGTTTGATGCGTTGTAAGATTAGATGCAAATCCAATGACTCAGATTACTTCTCACTTCTCATCTTAAGGAGAACTTCTCACCTGATCCTCCCTCCCTCTCTCTCTCTCTCTCTCTCTCTCTCTATATATATATATATATATATATATATATATATATATATATATATATGTGTGTGTTTGTATGTGTAAAATATCAACTGTTTAGTACCTGGATGCATTAAAGCTCTTCTTTGTCTATGTAGAATGTCATCAGACATAAATGCCCAACATTTTTCCCACACATATTCCGATCTACTCATTGTATCTGCTGCTAATAAAATCACAAATAGCTTTCTTAGTCCCCATGCAGAAGCCCAATAACTACCTTCTGAAAATCCTTCAACATACTCTTTGTCATCGTCCAGCAACCCTAAAGCGAAACATGCCTCACAGTATGTATTATGAATAATCTCGTCCACGGTTCTTAGATCATCATAGCTTGTAGCCCCACGTCTCAAATTAAGGACACATCGTAAATAATAAGACTCTCCTGATCCTGGAGGCACATATGTTAGTCGACCTAATGCAAACCCCTTTTTTCGGGGTACAAATTCTCTTGTTGCCGCTTTCCACACAAACTTTTGAGGAAATTCGGCATAAGTTAAATCCCTTGCCTCAGGTTACTCACCATTTGCTATCATCCATGCCAGAAACATACTCTCTTTAACAGATTCACGCAACACGACGTCACTTACCGTTGCACCATCTTCAAAATAAACGTACTGTTCATTGTGGAAGTGAAAGCTCAAACGTTCAACAGATGGATTCTTATACTGAATTTCAAATCCAAATATTCTCCACATCGCCTCACATGAAGAAATATACCGGCAGTCATAGTACAATTTAATTTCATCAACTGGTTTGTCAATGTCATCTTTATGCGTTGTTTCATAAAATCTTGTTGTGACACGGTCGTGTCCTTTATTGACATATTTGAATAAATATTTTATTGACCTCGATTGATTGCACCACTCCACATTAAGATGAGCACCGTACCTCATCAATAACGACCTGTTGTGGGGGACAACATATCTATTGTGAAGCGAAGCACCACTCTTCACAATTGTTCTTCCATCATTTCGCCTCCTATATTTTGGATAACCCTCTTCATCAATGATAGTTTGTTCGTTGAAGTTCTTTGGAAAGTGCTTTGAACATTTAGATTGAGCCATGCAAGGGGCGTTCCTTGCATCACTGCCACATGGTCCGTGCACCATATGTGTGCATACCGCTTTAAAATATTCAAGATTCGCTCTCTCATCGGGTATTTCAGCTGATATAATGCGATCAATGTCTGCTGGGGTGGGAAATTTGTCCGCACTCCCCATGAATAATAAAATATGAGCATGCGGCAACCCACGCTTTTGGAATTCAACTGTGTAAATCACTGTGATCATATTTCATAAGAATGTCGTTAGACACACACAAACATGTATATAAATGTGTATTTATATAAATGTATACACATGATATTTGGTATACCTGCTATAATTTCTCCAAATATCTTACTTTGTCTTAGATATTTTATTAAGTCATCCAACTTCACCTTAAACACTCAACAAACTATATCAGGACGATCTTCAGGATTCGAATTCCTTGAAGAAAGGAATGTATTAATTTCAGGCCATCTTGGGTTACATGTGAAAGTCAAGAATAGATCTGGGTACCCCACCCATCGACATATAGCCATGGCATCCTGATAGTTTTGAACCATGTAGCGAGCACCCCCAACGAATGTAGGTGGAAGAACAATTCGCTTACCCTGTGTTGAGGCATCTCTCTCACCGCTTAGCAAAGCATCCGATAGGCCTTTTTACATTTCACACCTTAGTTGTTTTTGATGGGTTCTAATATACATTAGCCTTGATGACTCAACCATCGTGTATCCATCAACTGTGAACTGTTGGAACAATCTCCTACTCTTAAGAATGAAAGGGTCCTCGTTTGCTCGTTCATGTAATCTATAAGCAAGAAACTCTCTGATGCTAACACTTCGGCGACCGCGCGTGCTTGACAATCTTTCATTACAAAATTGTATATCCTCCATGTACCCATCATCACCATACGGGAACAAAAGTGGATATTGTAATCCCAAATATGCCGGATTTAGCTCATTTATTCTTTTCAAATACCCTCCTTGAGTTTCAACCATTATATCTCTTTGCCCCAGTGATTCATCAAAATCACCTACCACCAATGCGGCCACCTCAGACACTGTGGGTAAATTATAAGTTCTGGCATCCTTGGTCCTCCTTCCTATCAACTTTAGGGATACTTTTGTTTCCCCGCCCTCGGCTAGTTTATCTCTCACCATTCTAAACGACTTAACTAAAACATTATGTTGATCTAACATTTCCCTTAACGTAGACACAATATGTGCATGCAGATTGTTCTTCTCTTTATCATCCCTAAATTCATATGACCAAATAACATTAAGATACCATGAAATTAGAAATCACAATATGTATGCATGA